TTTTTTTTTTTTTTTTCATTTCACCACAATCCTACATTCCACAGAGATGTGGGACCCTATTGTGTCCTAGGCCCTCTTCAAGGCCCTGGGGATACACAAGTGAACAAAATACAGAAACTCCTCTCTCGTGGAGATGACCAATGGTAAACTAGATACTGGTCAGAAGATATAGTATATCTGATGATTAAGAGTGCTGTGAAGTAAGGGGCGCATGGGTGTCTCAGTCACTTAAGCATCTGAGTTTTGATCTCAGCTCAGGTCTTGATCTCAGGGTTGTGAGTTCAAGCCCCACATGGGGCTCTGCACTGAGTATGAAGCCTACTTAAAAAAAAGAAAATTCTCTGAAGGAAAATAAAGAAAGCAGAAGTGATAAGGAGGCCAATGGGGAGGAGAGCTGAAATTTTAAACAGGAAGGCCAGCAGAGGCCTCCCAAGAAAATGATATTGGGCAGAGACCTGAAGACTCGAATTGTAGGAGTGAGTTGTGCAGATACATGAAGAAAGAGCATTCGAGACCAAAAGAACAGCTAAACTCTAAGGCCCTGAGATGAGAGTATGCTGAGTGTTTCAAGAAAGAGCAAGAAAAAAATGTGACTGGAAGCGGAGCAGATGGTTGAAAATGAAATAATGCAGAGGTTGTGGTTGTGGTTGTTGATAACAGCAAGGTCTAGGACACAACCATGAGGACAGAGGGACAAAACAGGTTGACAGACAACAGGTTTGTGGGAAAAGAATAGGGTTGGAGATCGTAATGTAATAGTGAGGGCTTAAGTCTTTGGAAAGGAGTACCGTGACGGGGGTTTGTGGGTAACTGCGGAAGCCATGCAAATCAGCGACACTACCTTTTTTTTTTAAATCCAGTTTTTACTTCTACAGGCTTCTCTTACATGTCTTTCTAGAACATACTCAACTACGTAGGCAGTTTAATTGAATCACTATATTTACTAAAGAAGCAAAAATAATTAAGGATGATATGATGCCAGATTTTATTAAATTAAAAAAAAACATTTTAAATTGTTATTTAATCACCAAAATAGTATACCTTAGAGAAAAATGAACCTGATTTATTGAATATTTTAAGGTCTCTCCTACTAAATAATTGCATTAGCATTTATTTTTATTAACATTAACATTATTTTATTGCATGTTATGTTATACTATTAGTATATTTTATTGTTAATATAACATATATTAAAGACAAAAGAGCATTCAGAATACAGGTGTCTATTGAATGATTTCATACTCAGGGCTTTTACTGTTGTCATTGTGACAACAACAGTATTTCTATAATATTTAACAATGATTTCTTAGGAATTCAACATATTAGTGTACTAGGCATTGTCTGTACACATCTTCTATTGTTTCCCATTTACTGGTTGGAAACATCATTTTATATCACAAAATAAAAAAGTGCTGTAGTAGCACAGCATAGTGACTAAGCATAGAGCCTTTAGCACCTAAGTGGCTGCCAGCACAGAGCCCGATGCAGGGCCTGAACTCACAAACTGAGATTGTGACCTGAGCCGAAATCAAGAGTCAGATGCTTAACTGACTGAGCCACCTCAGTGCCCTGGGACATTTTTTTTTTTTTTTTCTCTCTCTTTGGTAGTAACTGTCTTCTGCCAGATTTCAACAAGAGCAGGAGAATTCAAAGACTGGCCACCGGCTGTTGTAGTTTCCTACTATCCTACTCTCCTACTATTGAAACTCACTAGGGTGAAACTAGGCTTAGAATTCTTTGCCTTTTGTCTGGTAGCAGGTACAAGAGCTGCTTAAGGTTTCCTTAAGATTTCCCTATTGGTCCAATGGGCTATAAAGTAATTCTCGATCAGCATACTCGTATACTGGAGACCGTATGTTGAATATAAGTGATGTGTAATAAACCCAGAGAGAAGTTACCCAGTTTGTCACTGCTCGTATTTGGATGACATTATCCAGACCCCTCAGGTATTTATTTTCCTTTCAGCTGAATTCATTTTCATCTTTCAATTTCTTTTAAAATTTTCTTTCCCTCATAGGAATGCAGCACAAAGTCTCACTGGCCTCCTTGCACTTTATATCTTTATGTAATGACATGCCTTTGTCCCATTTTTATGAATTTTGGCCTTATTTTCTTGATTCTCATCCAGCTTCTCTGTCCCGGTCTTTGGATTTTTTATATTTTTAAGTCATTTTTCCTTGCTACCATTTTGATCTCACTGCATATAAGAAAACTGTACCAGCTCTACTATTGCTATACCTTTCTGTAGAGAAATCTCATCCCGTAACATTTACTGTTTCTTTATGATAATATTTTATGATTGACAGTCCACATACCCAATAATGACTACATAGATTTCCTTCATCCTTTTGTGATTCCCCCCATATTTATTTCCCTATGTACCCAAACTGTCTCATTAACAATAAACATCTATTTTTTTAACATGATCTTAAAGAAAACAACGATTTGTTGGAATAAAATGTTTCACAATATAATAAGACACATCTCCTAACCAGTCCTCCATTCATGTTATTTGAGCCAACTTTTAAGGCAA